TCCTGGGGAAATGGTCGTAAACCGGTGCCATTAAGATGTGCTATCAAACGTTGGCCTAATGCTCTGCTGTTCACAGCACCAGTCCTCACTCACCTTCTGTTCTTTAATTTGTTCAAGGTTACTCTATAATAGTGAACTGACTTGAGGAATAGACTGTTGAGTAAGCTGTGAGCCATTCAGGTGCCAGTTTTGTCATAAACCCCGACCTCCTGCTTTTCTTCTTCTTCTTCTTTTCGCTGTTATTACGTAAGTGTTCTGCACAGTGAGAACTAAATTGCCAAAGCAATAAGGCAGACTGCGGGGTAAAATTGAAGGCAGAAAACAACATTTTTACTTGGTGGAATGAGGCATATGTTTCATCGGTGGTGTTCCAGTGTGGATACCTCTCTCTCTGGAGCTGTGAGTTTTATAATGCAACACTTAAAGACTCCAGAGGCGTTTCTTTTGAGCCACTGGCATTGTTTGTGTGGGCTGGGCTGTGTTTGGTTGTTGGCGTAAAAGCTATGCTTTCATTTGCTGTTAAAAAGGGTACAGGATTTCCTCTGGACAGCCTGCAGAGCTTACTACGCCCCCAGGGTCAACAAGAGCACTTCCCTCACACAGGCTGTTTGGATTCAAGCACTTAAGCATCATATATTTAATATGTACCAAGGTTATAAAATGTCTAGATTTGGGTGCCAGACGAACAAAGTGCCACACTTGACCTTCTGAAATTCCAGCTTGCATACTTGTCTCACGCTCGCGTCCACCCACCTGCCGAGCCACAGTTGAACTTTTATGATGTCGCCCACACAGCCTTGCCTTTTCACTGAATGGGGTTATTTTGTGGTCAGTGTTTACCACTGCTTTATTTTTCTTTTCTCAGATTATGTCCTAAAACAGCAGAGAAAATTATCGTAGTATTATTCTGAGCATACTTTTCATCACCAGAGCTTCAGCTAACAATTACTTAACTTTCTTTTAGCAGTTTTACATATACAAATGGTGTTTTTATTTACTCTCTAGAGATTTGGCCTACAGTGGTGCTCTGAAGTTCACGGTTACTTTTTGGAGGAAGTTTTACAAAGACATGAACGAGAGACACGGCACACAAATAATCCTGAAGAAAAATCTGTGGCAGAACTCTGAGCCAGGCAACCACCGAACTGGCAAACCCATACTGAGGCTTTTGTATTTATTTTAGTAAAGATGCAACTGTGATTATTGTATTGTTGGCTTACTGTAGCCATAATGAGCTAGGAACACTGATCAGGGCTTGGGAGGTAGAATGTGCCATCTACTAAACGGAAGGCCAGTTGTTTGATTTCAGGCACCTCCAGTCGACACGTGAAAGTGTCCTTGGGCAAAAACATGAAGTGTGAGTGTGTGCATGATTGTTATAAATCCCTTTAATGCTTTATCAGTTTATTTGTTAAAAAGCAAAAAAAAGTAAACTACACAATTATTTTGTCCATGTTGCAGAAAGTTAAATCTCAGTGTTTGCTGTTTTATGCGGGGGGGGGAAATCATTATTTTCACCAAAACAGTCATTTTTTCCAGAAACCCAACTCGCAGAAAAACCCACCCAAAGCTGTTTGGATGACTTAAATCGAAAGAAGTCTCAGTGTTGTCTGTTATTTGTAAAGGTGTTGGCGGACAAAGAGTGCTCACAGGGAAGAACAAATATTATTTCACTTCCTTTTGAAGTACTTTTTCCTGGCTCATAATTGGTCTTTAGGGGGGGTGACTACACATGAAAGCATGATTGGTCCACATAGTTGCAGGAACCGTGCTGCCTTATTTTGTAAAATTCCTGTTATTTCTGGCCATTTAATAAATAAATATGTATTTTATGCTTGAGTAAATGAAACCCTTCTGATTTTTTTTCTTAGTGCAAAGCCAAAACCTCTCTCGGAGGTTTCTTTGGGTATTTTTTTTTCTTTTTCTTTTTTGCTGGATGCTGGCAAAACCCTGCTTGTCTGATTTCTGATGAGCTGTCAGCTTTCTAAACACATCCCCGTTCAGTTATTTACACATGGAAGAAATTACACGACAGCTCATCACGTTATGCCAGTGTGCACTATCCTCTGATGAAACCCCACCCTGAATCCCCCTCCACCCCACAAGTCTTTCCAGATAGACACTACTTAGCCCTGCAGTCTGTCGTCTGCCCTGAACCTGTGATCAGCAAAGACCTGAGCAGTGTGACGCTGTTCTGCTTACTCAGGTAGAAAATCCCCTCGAGGATGTGCTTTTAATTGAATGGTGTCTCCAAAGTGGCTGTACTGCTGGAGCATGATCCCGCTCTGAGTACTGGCCTTCACACTCTGGCAGAGGTTTGCTAATGACTCAGCCTGAGGAGCTAATCCATTTGTCTCCCATGCCTGATCAAAGATGGATAGGTACTGTGGAACATTAGGCGATGTCATGTTTCTGATAGCAGATGTGCACTACTTAAAGTCTCTGGGCTCTAATTGTGTGTAGAAGACGAAAGATGGAGAGGGTGGATTTAAAGAGTAGGTATATTTTCTAGTCTTTAAATAAACTTATTCATATTCGACACAGTGGGTAGCTCTGTATGTTTGATATTTTTTTCCTCATATTTTTGCACTGAATGCCCTTCCAATGCAATCCCAAAGGGATTTCTGGGGATCTTTTGCTTGTTTGCCGATTGTGTGATATTGAGTGTTTTAAAGCGGCTCAAAATTTGTCTGACATTATTCCAGTTTCTTACAGCGTGTCTGCGATTAGCAACAAACCTGTGTGGGATACATCCAGTAATTGGCTGGATTGATTTAGTCTTCACCCTCTCTGCTTGAGTGTGAAAATGCAAGAAAAAAAACGTTGGCCACTTAAATAATTGGGCCCACCAGTGTGAAGAAAGTTAGTCCTTGTTTCATTTTCGTGGGTGAATTAGTGACATTTTAAGGATTTATGTTTTTTTTCCTCTCATCGTCCCTTCACCTGTTCCTTGTTCACTGTGTTCTCAGTTTACCTGCGTCACATTTTCCTCTGCAGTCAGTGATGGAGGCACTTACAGTATTTGTTACTTCTTTACTGATTACTGTCTTTACTTTCTTTTTTCTCAACTTTTTTACCCGTGGTTTCGGTCCTTCTTCTTACTGGGACTTCTAGAGGCACAGTTACTGGAGATCTATGCTTCAGCATTAAATTTACACCCTAACTGCCAGTGCTGTGCAATACTACAAATTTTGGTGTTGATCCATTACCAGCACGGCCAACATTGCCGATACAGATACAAATACTGATACTCCTATATAGGGATGGGTATCGTTTAGGTTTTATCCGATACCGGTGCCAAATCGGTACTTTTGAAATGGTGCCGGTGCTCAAACCGGTGCTTAAAGAATGGAGAACACAAAATTAGTCCAAAAACCTCTCATGTTCAGCTGGTTTTTTGTAAAAAGATAACAATGTTAGGCTTTTCTGCAGCTATGGGGCATATATGGTATCACTCTTGGCTGGAAGCAGTGCTTAAACAATGGAAAAAAAACACAAACTTTGTCCAAAAACCTCTCATGTTTAACTGTTTTCCACTTTTTCTTTGGTCATTTTAGCCTTTTTGGCCAGGGTGCAGGGAGTATCTGCCATCAAACAAGAGGACAGCCGCATGTAGCTATGATGATGTTTGCTAGTTCACCTTACCTGCATTAATGTAATAACGTGGTTAGCCCTACTCAATTACAATTAAATTACACACGAATAACATTAAGCTACTCACCCAGAGAAGAACGGCTGCTGCTGCATCATCATCCGTCATCATTTCTGCTACACTGGCAGGGCTAGGGGCCAGGACTCTACTCTTCGGGTTTTTGGGGGATGTTGCACACTCCGGGTCCAATAACAAGCACCACACCCGCAGTAGATGTGCTCAGTGTGAGGTCTCGCAGCAAGCTATCAAATACGGCGCATTTCTCGGCTTTTAAAAAAAACGCTAAGCGTCGCCAGGTGTTTCATCGGATTCGAGGTGTTACCTCCTTTGACAGTATCACAGTATCAGCTTAAAGCACTTGTTGCAGGCTGCTGAGTTTGCATATTTTGCTGTGAAGTACAGCCAGACTTTTGACCGCTTTGCCTTGGGCACTTTTAATCTGTAGCTCTGCTCTAAAAGAACGTACGTACCTGGCCCCGCCTACTATCCTCGGAAACGTAAAATGATTGGCTAGAAGTGTATCACAGCTCAGGAAAAAAAAGCACCGAAATGTGCACTGCTTTTCGGTCTGGTTACTACCGTTTATGTCAGAACCGGTACCCATCCCTACTCCTATATGTAGGGGGGAGAAGTGTCTTGATTAATGAGATGAATTGTCATCAATTTGCAAATTCTGAGCATATTTTAATGATTACTAAATCAAAATAATTTTTGCTTTCCACAATAATTAGTTAATACAACAAAACACCTTTTCAGCTTTTTGTGTATTTTGAAACAGATCCTCTTGCACTAGTATCGATCCAATACAGATACCAGCATTGGCACTATCGATATTTGTCAATCCACCCACCTCTACTAACTGCAAACCTCTCTGAAACCCTGTGCTGTCAATGTAACTAAATGCCAGTTTGATGTATCATCCACTTCTATAGCTTATACCATAGCCTCTATGAAGATTCACCACAGAAGTCTGAATCAGGACTTAGTGGGTCTGTGAGGTCAGGTTTCCACGTCATTTATCATTTATTGCTGTATGTGAATGACAGTAGCTGTAATTTCCTGTTGGCTTATTTACAGATTACATCCTCTTTATGCTGGAAGTGGGAAATGAAGTCTGCAGTGTGTCTCTGTCTCCCTCCTAACTGCAACCCTGCTGTGCGAGTGATTAGCAGTGGAGCTGAAACCTTTCCCCCTCCCATAGCTTTGTAATATATTTTTGGATTCGTTAAGAGTCCTGATGCAGATCATCTGAAAACGGCAAATACTTTTGTTTCATTTTATTTATTTATTTGTGTGAGGAGGGCGACTTAAAATGTCTGCTTCACTGACCCTCGTCGTCTTTCTGCAGGAGCCCTCACGGTCGGACTGGTCCGGCAATGTCAAACGATCCACGGACGAGACCGGACTTGTATCCCACCAAGGCTGCCCCCAGAGTGGGTCACCACACTGTTCTTCATCATCATGGGCATCATCTCCCTCACAGTCACCTGTGGACTGCTGGTGGCATCACACTGGCGCAGAGAAGCCACCAAATATGCCCGCTGGATCGCCTTCACTGGCAGTAAGTGAACATTTTCCCTGAAACTGATGAGACGACCTTTAGAAATTCCCCTTCACCACACCACGTCAGTATATTTATGCATCTATGCAGAGCAGTGAATAATAAAATGGGAGGAGGTTAGGTTGAATCGATGTAGAAATTTGGTTTTAGCCGAGTCTTGCACATCCTCATTTACATGTGTGATAATGTGCACGGCAACAGAAACATCCGAGGCTACGCACAGGATATCAGTCAGTTTGTGTTTTTCAGAGTGATGCGAGGACCTGCGTGTGGGCGTGTGTGTGTGTGTTTTGTTGCATTTGCACATTTATGAGAATTATTTTATTTTTTATTTTGTTGCATTCTTGTCGATTATGCTTTCTCCCTGAAGCCGATATTGAGTTATGCAGTTTGTCTGGTACTTGAGTGGGTGGCCTATGTGCCACGGCAATTTTTTTTTTTTTTTTTTTTAAATCTCCCTCTTTGCCTTGAAATCGCAGCTCCTCTGCCCCCCCCCCCCCCCCCGACATGATTTTTGTAAAGGTACGCTTCCACCATTCGATAAGAACTTCCATCTCGCGTACTGACTGTGTCTGGGCTGGTTTCGTAAGGCTGTGTAGGAGGGTGGCATTTGATTGGTCAGACAAAGACAAACCTGAACGTACTCGTACAGATGCAGCAGTGGTATGTGAAGTCACAATGCCCTGCAAAAATTGTTTGAAAGCCTGTGTATTTCTTTTTCTCTCTCCATAAACATTGAAGTTTCTTTTGCCTGCCTGGCCGATTGCGGATTCATATTTTTTATTTTTACTTTTTTTTTCCTGATCATGTGATGAATCACTGCTTTTCAGAATCCCGATTTTTTTTTTTTATTTATTTATTTATTTTTTTAATTAATTTATTTTTTCCCCCGCTACACAAACTGCCTGTCCACTAATCACAAAACAGTGTTACATTCTAAAATGAAAGCAGTCGAGTCATTGTTTAACGACTGTACTCAAAGGAAAGTAAGAGCGTTGCCATGGCAATTGTGAGCAGTTGTTACCCCCCTCCACACCACCCTCCTCCCTTCCCATGTACAGCTTCTGCTGGGCATATTAGACAAGAGGTATATTTTTAGTTCAGCTTTAAAGCATGAAAACGTTTACCAGCAAGGAAATAAATGAGGGGAAAAAAGGTTGGAGGAGGAAAAGACTTGTGATCTATTTGAGAGATGAAGCTACGCCTGTGGCAACAGAGGGAAAAGTGATAGAAAAGCATCACTTTTTCTATTTTTAGTACCCCCATTAGTTGGCACTTTAGAGACTGATGGTCTACCTGGGATTCTCTTGTAACTCTTGAGCGGGTAAGGTGGATGAAAAGGGGTGAAAAGTGCTTGATGTTGCTGAATTTTTGCTGTGACGTCTAAAATATTTCATGTGGCTGAGAGAAGGCGGGGAGGGGGGTTAAGTGAGAAAAAAACTGGTGTGATGGTAAAGATGGCAAGCTGAGCGAGTAATCTTGTTTTTAGACATAAAGTGAGAGGTTGTTGCCCATGTAAGGATGCAAATCGAAAGAGAGGAATAAAGTGAAGCTGGTAGCAAGAAGGCAGGGCTGGTTCATTTTGGGCAAAACAGGTGATGAAGGTTGAGAGGAGGTGGGCAGTGTGTAGTGTTACTGGCTCCAGGCCATCGGGACTTGAATGGACAGCTTTGTGTAACTGGCACAGGCCCGCCTCTGTGTATCGCTGTGTGCACACCAGCAGCGTTTTCCCCCAAAATATGAAGGTCATCTGTGGGGGTGGAGTGGATGCAGAGTTATAGAAAATGTCATTGTGAAGATTCGTTAACAGTAACTGCAAACCATTCGCTAATTAATGAAGTTAGAAAATGAACAAAGCAGCCTTTTCTCTCTCTTTGGATACTATTTACAGCTTCTTCTTTTTTTTTTACCACTTTAAACAGAATCATTCTTCTAGATTTAACACTGAACTGGTTTCCATGGATGCCAACTTTATTAAATAGCCTATTGATCCTTTTTTTTTTTATTGTGTTTGTTTTGCAAGAGAAGCCACCCAGATCCTGCAAATTTTGAATTAAAAATCTGTGATCCATCCTGAGAAAAGTGAGTCAAGGCATCAATGTCGTGTTTCAAATATGTGAGTTGAGGGGAAAAAAAGAGGAAATCTTGTGTTCTTTCTTAAAGGGGGTTAAACTGCTGCTTATGGTCCTTCTCTGGGTAGTTGCACATTTATGTGATTCAGGTTTATGAGTTGCAATGTCAGAGCTGAATTGTGTTGTGTCTAACTGATTAAAACGTAATCTGTGACTACTGCTGGTGCACAATAAGAGATACTGTTTAAAGACCTGAATTTTTTAAAAAACCCCAAAAACATCAGCACTCAGGAGAGTCAGAGACTACCAGCAACATAAAGCAGTAGTGCTCACACTGGTGGTATGCCTGCTGGTGGAGCACTGAAGCATTTCTGATGTGGACACATGTTTCCAGGGGTAAAACTGCAGAGCACAAGAAGTTATTAGAATCTGATTGCTGAAGGAAGAACCACCAAACAAGCTTAATGGAATCAAAATTCAGGTTTGATTTATTCAGGCAGTCCTATCTGAAAAACTAGCATGTGCTTATACTCCCTATACAACAGTTCAACTGAAACATTTCACAGAAAGAGCTACTAAATTATCCTTTTAGAGCCCAAAAGATGATGCACTATATTGCCAAAATTATTCTCTCATCTGTCTTCACACACATATGAACTTGAGAGACCAAGTCTTGTTATGCCGAAACATTACGAGTTCCTTTCACTGGAAGTAAGGGGCTGAGCCCAACTCCTGGAAAGACAACCACACAAAATCCCCCCTCCACCAAAGTTTACACGAGCAGTGAGACTCGTCCATCAGGCGGCATCCTATCATGGTACCACGCTGGAAAATAAGAGACACTCATTCTCTCAGGAACGTTTGTTGAAGCAGTCTGCGTGCTTAGCTTCTTGATTTTATAGACATGTGGTCATGGAACTGATTTGAACACCTGAATTCAATGATTTTAATGAGTGAGTGAATACTTTTGGAAATATAGAGTATATGCTGTGCATGAAATCTTCGTTATCTGCTGTTTGGTTGGCTCAACTCGTGCTGCCTGCTTCTAAATGACCTCTAACTTATCTTTGCAGTATCTTGTTATTTAAATCTGTCACATTTCTGATGCAAAGGGTCATCTGTTAATGAGCAGCATTGGTCTCTTTAGTGATACACTAACAAGCAAGTGCAGCTCTCATAGTTGCTGTTAGTGGTTACTGCTGCAGATTAGACTTGTATATTAGATCGTCTGGATTTATTAACACTTCAGTCTACAGCATGAAAACCGTGACACTTCTCCCCAGATGTAGGGAAAACGCTGCACCGGTGAATTCACAGAAATAATATAAATATGTTAAAATAATATTCTGAATAGTATTTTAAAAAATTAAATCAGCATCCTATAGAAAAGAAAATGTATGCTTAAGCAAGTTGAACAAGGGAGCAGAATAACTACTTGTAGCATGAGTAATGTGGTAACTGTTACTCTTTACAAGTATTTGTATTAATGATTAAATTATTTTTCTAAATCTCTGTTGCCATAAGAAAGAAAAACTGCATATTTGTCATTTGAGCAGGTTTCTGCTAATTGGAAGCGTGGTGGTTCGATCTCTCTCATTCAGTCTTATGTGTTGAAGTATCCTTGTGGAAGCTTCTAGGATGCATCCATTAACGTACGTGTGTGTGTGTGTGTGTGTGTGTGTGTGTGTGTGTGTGTGTGTGTGTGTGTGTGTGTGTGTGTGTGTGTGTGTGTGTGTGTGTGTGTGTGAAGTTAAAAGGATTTAGGCATAGAAAGGGGTTTATGTATGAGTGAGTATGTGTAAATGGGTGAATGAGCCTTGTGGAAAGAAAGTGCTTTGAAAGCTCAAGTATTGTGCATTTACTATTTTAGAAAAGGTCCTTAAATGATTAAGTAGCTGATGGTTGTTTTTAGATATTTTCTGTCAATCAACTAAAGAATTAATCGGATAATTGCTGCAGCTCTCTTGTTTGAGTGCAAAGAATGACTGCTTCTCTGAAGGCTCCATATGTCACTGGTTGAAACACTTAAGAGAAGCGTCTGACTGAAGTGCACTTTGCTCAAGTTTTCAGGTATAATGCTGAGTCGTGTATTTTTGGCTGCCTTTTAGCTTGCCTCACGAATAAACACATGTCCGGAGTAATGAGCGGGCATGAATCTAAACTCGAATTGTGATGCAAGTTTACTCTGCTGGGATCTTTTGTGCTCGCTAACAGACAGGAGGAAAGCAAACCGGTAGGTTTATGAGTAAAACCTCATCAGATGACGCAGGAATTTTTATTCGTGATGAAAAACGGCTAATAGGAGCACAACACTGTAAAACCGGTTTATTAGTTAGTAAAATACCTGCGTGAATGTCACACTCGGTTAATCTTGTTTAGATTAAATGCAGGCGCAGTTACAGCTTGGTTGCCAACCCATAAATATTCCTAGTTTTATTATATTTTTGGGGTAATGTGGCAAACAGATAGGCACGACTCACTTATTGGATTTCTATATCTTTGCCTTACGAGAATAAAGCGTATAAAACTTTAATCTGTCTGAAATTTAAATTGCAGGAGAATCTAAAAACAGACTCTTTGCTTCATTTTAACAGTTTATAGTCAGTCTGTTATTTTATGCATATTCTACATCCTAGTAAAACCTTTAATCTGTGAATTGCAGGAATTAAGTCTCAGATTTTTCTTTTTCGGGAAACTGTATAGCGAAACATTAAAATTTGTTAATCGGTTTGTTCCAAAAAAATTGAGACTCAGATACTAAAATTAACATTAAGAAACTCATTTGCAACAATATCGATACTATCTTTGCTGTCGTGCCTCCTCCACTTGACGCAAAGCACACAGCTCCTTCCTTTGCTAACAGCTGAAGTAGTTGATGTCATTAACACTGAACAATACTTCAGGAGGAATTTAAAGAGGCCAGTAAAGCTCATGTTAACATTAGCCATTTAACTATTCGCAGTTACCCGATAGCCACATTAGCCAAATGTTATAAGCATTCGGCTAGTGGACTGCAGCTCATGGATGGAAGAGTCCTGGTGGTGTAGTCTTGTTGGTGTCACAGACACATGGGGAAGCGGCCAGGACTGTGCAGATCTGCGCCGAAGCCGTAGATGAACTGAGGAGAGAGTCCAGAGTGTGGAGAACAACTTTACCGTAATACGTTTTGTGCAATAATTTAATGATTTAGATGCATTAGGTACGTATTTGTTTATTAGTAAGTTCTAAAATATACTTTACCTCCACCATCTGAAATGAAATTATGTAAATCATTTTAATTAGTTACTTTAAAACTAAATCTTCTATACTTCTGTACCCCGTGATATAGAAAATGACATTGAATATTTTTCTGGGTATTGGTATAAAGTATGAAATTCTCGTTCTGTGACAACGCTGCTTGTAACCCAGTCATTAAAAGCAAGCGTTGCTGGGCAGCTATCTTGGTGTTGCCTCCAGGCAGTTATTTTAAACCCTTCTAAACTTTAATTTTTAAAGCTCACAAGGATGAAACTGTACGTATTATAATTTGTATTTAAAACGTGATGTTTTGGGGCATTTTTCCCATTTATTTATTTGGACAGTGAAGCTTTTTTTAAATAGGAAAGTGCGGCTAGAGCTTTGGGGAAGACACACATCAGATCCCTGGGTCAGAATCGAACCCAAACCGCTGCATCGTACCTCCGTGACACATGGTCACCCGCTTTTTCAGGTGAGCCAAACTGCCACCGCTTATCTGCATCTTTGTGACAGTAATGAGTTGATACGCCTGTCACCACACAATTAATGCTGTTTTGAACTTGTATTCACACATCAGTGCAAGAGCAGGACCGGCTCATATATTTCACAGTTCGGATTTCTTATTGGCTCTTCGGGGTAAACTGCCATCTTCGCCGTCTGGCATTGATTTCTATTCAGGGTGCTTTGAGCATTGCATTTCTCTCCTATGTCTGTCTAATCTGAAAATGGCTCTTTATGCTTTCACAACATGTCACATAACCTCAATAAGTCAACAGGGCTTCTAGAGTACGGACACACAACTTTTTCTAAACAACAAGGAAGTCACTCTGAACTGATGTAGGAAAGGATATCTAATGCAGTTTCCGTTTGCGGTGTTGCTGCTTCAGGCAGTGCAGAAAGAAGTGTTGATCTAAAGGAAAAAAAAATGCACAAAAATGGTGAAAAGCTCTTTGATAGATCAGTTATTTTTAATTACTTGAAGCTATTCCACAAATTCTGCACAGCCATTGATTTGGATTCAAAAACCACAGTTTGCTTTGCTGCTTAACGTCACTGTGAGTTACATAAGTTGTCTCAACTGGACCTCGAGCTTCAGTTACAACACTTTCAAAGGAAGGAAGAGAAAAGGGAACCTTTGCTATTGGCAACAGCTTTGTTATTCCATTTTTCACCTACTTCCTGGACATTTGAGTAAAACCACACGATGGCTTCATCCCTGATCTCTGCTGTGCTTGCTCTGCAGCCGCTGACTTGACCACTGTGTGTTGAGCAGAACATCACACTGTTTATTGAGAATGGTGCCTGTTGCAAAAGCAGCGATTCCCAGCATGCGGTCAACGCGCCGAGCTAATTGATCCCGCAGGGCTTGATGGTGATTGTCAGAGCTCACCAATCAGCGGAATTGGATTTGCAGAAGGAAACCAGGTTAACACAGAAAAAAAAAAACATGTCCCATGGTAGCTGAGCTCCTGTAGGGGCCTGACCTCTACATCATGTACTTGGAAGACACACTGAGACATTAAATTCAGAGTTCTCCGATATGTAGCCGTTTAATAATATAAAAAGGAAAATTATCTGGTCCTTAGCAGGTCTTAGATGAAATACAGTATATGTAATATTACACTCTCGCCATTTAACAAGAAATAAATGCAGTTGATTAACTGATCATTAGAAAGTGAGAGCTTTGGCTGTTTGCAGATCTGTAGCATTGAGGTGCCAACAGAAAGCCGTCATTGCTGCTGATGCTGGGAGGAGTTATGAGGCCGTTTTGAAGCAATTTGAAGTTTATCGTTGTGCATCGAGAGATGATTCACAAGTGAAAAATATTCACAATGATCCCAACTATCAAAGCAAATATACAACCGAATTGCCTGAAAAGAAAAGAAACAAGGTGTTGCATGTGACTCAGTCAAAGTCCAGACTTTAACCTGATTGTTATGCTTCAGAGGGACCTGAAGAGAGCCGTGCATCAACAAATGCCTGTAGAGTTCAATGAACCGAAGCATCGTTGTAAAAGGAGTGGGCCAGAATTTCTCCACAATGATGTGAGATACCAATAAAGTCATTTAGAAAAGTTTTTCTTTTTCTTTTTCAAGCTATTGCTGCTAAATGTGGTTTTACAAGCTCCTGAATGCTTTTAGTTTTTGACAACTAAGTGTAAACTTTGTTGTGTTTTACCAGGGAAAGTTGCTCCACACAGTTTAGAAAGCATCTTATTTTCCTTGCCATCAAATGTGAAATGCATCTACTCATCTCTTCCTCCTAAATGTTGACATTTTGTCGCATTTTCATTCAACTGGGAGGAAAAGAGTCAGCTGAACTAATCGGATCACCTCCAAACTTGTCCTGCCTTTCTACACTTCTGATTGGATCTAGTCTCCCCAGAACAAATTTAATCTCGGTTTTTATTCAGTGACGAAAGTGTCAATATTTGTATGAAATCCAATTAATGTATTTGCTGTCGCACATTTTGGGGGGTTTATTTTGGGTCTATATTACGGTTGAGTTGCATTGTGGGTAAAGTAGTTGATGGGCTTTGATAAGAAAGAACACATGGAGTGGAGTTTACTGTCCTATACCTCAGCCTTGGAAAACTTTGTGTATTTGTTCTGTTCTGGTTAGTCTTCGACGGTGTTTCCTTCAGCATTGCTTTTGCTTTTCTAACTTAAAATCTTAGGACTATCTTTTCTACTTTGATGAACACGTTTTTTGTGCCTAACTAAAGGTTCAATTAGTAAATCACACCTCTCATGTAACATCTAGTGGCAGTCTCAGGAAACTACAACATCTGCAAACGTGTCATTTCCACCACAGCTTCTAACATTTGTAAATTTGGTAAATCCCTTTTCTGGATTTGACTTGACTTGCAGCGTATAAACGGAGCTGCAATGTGCTTGTTTAGAAAGCTTAAAATGTGATTACTGATCTGCACCTTTTAAGCTTGTAGAGAAATGTACTGTGTTAATCAGCCTGAGGTGGCATAAAGAGCTTGTTTATGGTTCTTGGAGAAGCATTTACTGAAACTAATGGTACATTCTGCTAGTCTGGGAAATGGTGTCAATTCATTTTGAGCTCAAGGGAAGAAGTTAATGATTTACCAACAAATAATTCACACACAAACTTTACAAACTTGAAAGCTTAAATCAAGCCCATTACTGCTGGCTGGCTTTCTTTTAGAGATTTGCTAAAACATTTAACTGTGGAAAAATGCTGCCTTCAGGTGCTGTAAGAAATATTATTTAAATATAAACGATGTCAGAATGCAAGCATAACTGGCAAAGAGGACGATTTCTGGGATTTTTGAGACACAGGTTTGGACGAGGACGTTGACATGGTTCCTTAGAAAATGTTGCACATTTATTAAGAACATCACTCAAAGTCCAAACAAAGTTAATCAGTATTTTATCAAGATTTTGATGCTGAGCTGCACATCTGTGAACAACAAACCTCTACTGTGTGTGTGCGTGCGTGCGGCTACTCTGTATAAATGCACAGCACATTAGTGGTTTCCAGCCTTTCCGTACTGTCAGTCCCCCAAACGCTCTTCGGTAATCTCATGACCTCACAGGTTTATTGAAGATGAAGGAAAAAAATCCTTTTGTCACCTGAACTTATACTTTTTATATAAGTAAGCACTGAATCAGGGTTGTTGCTTCCTCGCTGGACAGACGGACATCTCTGAGGTTTGCTGAGGATCAGGTGTCTCCTTAAATTTTTTTGAGCAGTGTATTAAAATGTGACCGAAAAGTTATAAGTTATGGCTTTTTCACTTTCTTGGTTAAGTTTCACTCTAATGATTGTAGTGCTGCGTTTACCTTGTAGTCATATATGATGTGCTTTTAAGTGTTTTCAGTGCCTGCTTCAATCTTCTGTCTATAGAAAGTTCCAGCTGCTGCTTTCATGAACATGTCTCTCTCTGAGTGTTTCATTTCTCCGATTTTCTGCAGTCAGCTGCTGTTCATCAACTGAATGTTGAAGTTTTCGGGGTATTTTCAGCGATGTCTGCGCAGCTGCCCTTTTTGTTTCCTCTTCGGAGGAAGATTTAACTAAAAATAGAAATGTCTCATTTCTACAGGAGACTAAATTTGGTTTGGGCGAGCTTGGACTCAGGCTAGTGTATGCTTGTCAGACTAATGTATAATCTATGACGCACATTAACATTACATAATTGAGTGCCTCTGCTTCTCATCTTTGTGAAAATGCAAGGCAGAATTATCTGCATGCCATGGGTCTGTTTGCTTCTGAAGGGACAATTACACCATTTGAAAGGCGGTGTTGTATCTCACTAATGAACTCCCGAAAATTGAAGTCAGTTTGAGGCTATGCTTTCTGCTCAAGCTGATGAGGTTAGGCTTAATTTTCTGAATCCACTGTGGAGAACAAAGACTAGAATAAGAGCTGACACTCCTTTAGTGTCATTTATCAGTTCAGTCTGTCCCCAGAGCTTATTTTACACACAAGATTTCAGTGCATTGAGGAAAAGCTACAGATTAATTCGAGTCATCTTTTAAGGAACTAATATTTTTCCTCTCTCCCTCCCTTGCTTCCAGTGATCCTGTTCTGCATGGCGGCGCTCATCTTCCCAATAGGCTTCTATATCAACGAGGTGGGAGGCCAGCCGTACAAGCTTCCCAACAACACGGTGGTCGGCTCCTCATACGTGCTGTTCGTCCTCTCCATCTTCTTCACCATAGTGGGACTGCTGTTTGCAGGCAAAGTTTGCCTCCCGGGCTGAGGATTCCAACGCTGTCGCCTCTGGACTGACACGAGAGGCTCTGAAAATGTCATGGGATTTAAAAAACAAACAAACACACATGCAAAAATGACTGAAAATCAAAAACGACTAACTCTGGCCAGAAGCCTGAAACGGGGGAAGTTTCTGCTTATGTGTCGAGGGACCGCAGCACCGTGGAGTACCCAGCGACTAAAAAGACGAATAAATGAACAAAACACTTAAAGGGGACATGGACGCAAAAGGTTGGGGGAGTGCGAGGGCAGCCGAGGCTGCTGCAGCACCCTGCCACTGTTGATTTAAAAGAAGAAAAAAAAGGAGAAAAAAAAAAAAAGAAAAATGGTGTCTCTCTGTTGTTGTTCTGTTGGAAAGGGTGCTCAATGTGCTGCTGTCATGGCAACCGCGACCACAACGCTGGCGCACATTTCTTGAGGACCACTAAAGTCACTCCTCGACATGATTTCCAGCCACCCGCCCCACCTCGCCGCTCTCAGCATCATCTGCGCCGTCACGACCGCTCCTGTTGCTGTTTTTGGCTTCTCTTAGCTATTTTTAGTTTTGTGTTTTTTCTGTTGTTGTACAATTTGTGTTCTTTTTTTCTACTTCTTCTTCTTCCTCCCCCACCACCTTTGTCCACTGAAGTTGTTTGAGTGTTACTGAGGTTCACTGAGCTGAACCCTTGAAGGAAACCCTTCGGGGGAGGTGGGAGATTGCAAAAGCTTGGCTCTAGAGTGGGGTTTATTCTCTCCTGTCACATTTGCACAGCCCCAGGTGTGTGGGAGAGGTGAGCAGCTGAGGTCACAGCTGTCAGGGGGCCACACACGGGCTACTGTGGATGAGAGGAAGATGCAGGTGTGCTTCCTCTTTTGTCTCCAGCCGGCTACTGCTCAGGAACAGGTAGCCCCAAAGGGGAGGCTGACCTCCCTGGGCAGCAGAATACAAGGTCAAGCACCATTAAGGAGAATGCCACTTACTGTAAGACCTTGCATAGTGTTATTAATAGCAGCAAAGTATTAGCGAGTGTAGACAGCTCTGCTAAGCCATCAGCTAACGCCATCATGCTGATACACTCCCACAGCCAGTAACTAGAAGACTGTGAATTTAGAGAATCATCATAAACGCACCTCGTATTTATAGTAATACACTTAATTGCGTTAAGCACAGCCACATGCCTAGTGGCCTTTTCAAAGTATTTTGTAGGGATCACTGCAGTTTTGCATTTTTCTGCAGGTTGGGAGCTTCCCTGAGTGGAAGCTGGAAGTTACAAGTGGTGTGAAAATAACATGCGAATGCTAAAAAATCAGTGGTGTTCTCCTTTAATGTTGGACAGGAAGTAAGTGAGCCAGGAGCAGTTTGTTCTTTCTTTCTTTCTTTCTTTCTGCATAAGTGAACGGACTGCAGGTCAGGTCCATGCATAGGGGGGCTGTGCCTCGGTTTGCTGCTCGTGATGTCTGTGAATGCAACACACACATACATAAACGCACACAAATACAAAAATATATTTACCCTTGCAGGGTTTTTCCTGGCCTGCAGTGAACCTTCAGTGAGTTATTTTCCTGTAGGTTTGAACACTTCACATTAAAATTAAACCTTTAATTAAAAAAACAATTTGGTGATTCTGGCATAAGGTCTTTTAAAGGAGCCCAAAAAGTCCTCTGTGAGGGGGAAAGCCCTGCACACAGTCTGCACTGTGTGCAAGCTAACATGGTTTTATTGTAGTAATTACTTTATCAGTGTCCAGATTAATTTGCACCACTCTTTGCTCACCACAAGTTCTTAGCTGTCTTGCCTTCATCAGGGTGATGTCTGAGGTTGTTTCTGGTCTCTTCCTACAAATAGAAACTGCATAAAATACAACAAAAAGAGTGCTCCTTTAACAAATATAATCAATTAGGTTTGAACCATGTAAATGGGACAATATTGCAGTGCTCTGTACCATTTATACTAACAGTGAGGGTGTGACTACAGTAGTTGCCACTCAGACACATCCTCCTCATCAGCACTGGTATAAGAGTAAAGGTAATAATCTGTGAATTTCTGAACTTTTATACTGATATATCTTTAAAGGAAGTAAAAACCAACACAATGGTGTCTTCAGCCCAGCTGGGCAGTGGTAGCACCAGTGTAAAGTTACAATGATCCTCAGGCAAGTTTTGAATTTACTAGAAGGCTCTTAGTTAGGATTTAGAAGTGGACTTATCAAGGTTGATTTGTTATGGATAACATCCTTGGGACGTGCGAGTCTCTCGAAAGTTAAAAAATAAAAATAAAAAATCAGTGAATGTTGAGATTGAACTGATAAGTCTGACTTCTGTCCATCGACACAACCTCGTAGCTCACACACTTCTGGATTAAACACGGCACCAAATTCAAACAGATACACTGTATCCATCCTATCTTCCATTGGCCTTCACAGAGCCTTTCCTTAACTAAACAAATAAAATAAAATAAAAAGTCACAAGAGGCAGAAATGATTCGTTTTCCACCAGCACTGGGGTGTCGGCACAGGATCGTTGGAACTACTGTTCTCACTGGGCGCGTTTGGAGCTACTGCAAGAAATTCAGCAGTGATTGGCAAATGCAGCCCACCGATTTGTCCAATGTGATTTTTATCTTCTTCCCACGGAAATTACCCCATCAAACCTGTCAAAATGTGAGCCAGTTCTTCAAAAATACACCACGGCAGAGCTGGCCCAGCATCAGTGCTGTGCTGGTGGGAAAAGAGGTGTCACTGCTGAAGCTGGAACCAGCAGAAGATTAGCATTTCTGATTTATTATCGAAATAGCTGCTGATTCATTCTCCTTCAGTCATTGCAGCTCTTTCACACATTCATACCATACCGTAAATGTAGGGAGCATGCAAGCTGCTGACCCTAGGACTTGTCCTGGAAAGTGTGTGTGTGTTGAACCGATCGCAGTCGCTCACTCGCCAAGTCTTAGACTTTTTGTTTTGTATTTTCTGTTTCCTGCTCAACTTTTCTTACTCTCAGTCTGATGATGTATACGGCTATTCTGTACACTTTGCAGTGCCCTGTCTTGGTTGGTTCAGTATTGTGCCATGACCTACTTCTTTTTTTTTTTTTCTTTTTTTTTAAAATAATGTACAGACACAAGAGGCAGGATTTCTGTATTAGAAAGCACTGTGCATTCAACAGTATAGGTAACAGACATAGAAGCACTACAAATGTATAAAAAAGAGAACTTCTTACCTCATTGTTTTTTGGTTTGTTTGTTTTTTTTGTTGGGTTTTTTTTGTTTCAGCTATTATTTTCTAATGGTGGCAACATGTGTGCCCTCTAATTTGTCTCTTGCCTTGATCGGATGTCTACACGTAAAGCCTATGATCATAGGAAATTATTTATCACTGAATAAAAAGAGAAAAGTGGGTGTGTGTGACTCTGACACGGTCTCTGTGTTGTGCTTATTTAAAATGGGTGAATCTAATCGAGAGGAGGATGACGGGCGAAGCGGAGCAGAGCTTAATCTCATTATGTTTTTGTAGGATGTGGCCCAAATGTACTTCGCCTCTTCCTACTTCATTAAATCGAAAAAGAGCTTGTTCTCAGACACAAACCTGCTGTGATTTGAGAGCAGCTACCCATGATGCATCAGTGAAGTGCTTTCTGAGTGCATTTTGTTAAATACTCAATGGTTTCTCGCTCTCACGCCGAGCCAGACCTCCAGCACCGCAGTGTCATAAACAAGAGGCGCACATTTCCTCTGGACCTGTGAAGATCGTGTCTCACTTTTTCTGCTCGCCCCTCAGTGACCTGGAAATCTATTTTTATAATTATCTGAGCTTAGTCACTTTTACTCCTTCTAATTTATTAGTCCCCCTCAAAGTACTCGCACCCAGATCAAAGCAGTGGGATAAATTTTAATCGGCCAATCGCATCACAGCAACTCGAGTACACATAGGCATGTATACCTGGTCAAGATGACCTGCTGAAGTTCAACTTGACATAAAGTGACTCTGAATGTGGCATGGCTGTTGGTGCCAGACGTGTTGGACGTGTTTCGGGATCTGCTGATCTACTGATATTTTCCCCACACAGCCACCTCAGGGTTTACAGAGACTACTCAGGCAAAGAAAAAATTTCTAGTGAGCAACGGTCCTCTGGATTGAAATGCCGGAGGTTCTGGGAGAATGGCCAGACTGGTTTGAGATGAAAGGCAATAGTTACAATACATTGAACCTTAATGCAGCAGAAGACCAAACTAAGTGCTACTGCTGTGATCTAAGGAGAGGAAACGGGATATAACTGGCAGAGGCTCAGCAAGAATGGAAATGTTTGGTCTGATAAGTCTAGGATTTCTGGCAGAGTCGTTGGCATAAACAGCAGAAAGCATGCATCCATCCTGGTCTGCTAGTGTGGGAATATTTTCTCTGCACACTTTGTGCACCACAGTCTACCTAAGTATCATTACTGACCAGGTCCAACTCTTTATGACCCATCCAACTCCAGTCCTCAAGGGCCGGTGTCCTGAAACAGGCAACTGGCAATTCAGCCATTTGATTTATGTTGCTGCAGCTCATGAGGGCATGAACATGGTGCAATAAAAGTCAATTTTTCCAAATTCTTACATTTATTTACATTTACTTGAGTAGGATTAGGGGTTGCCACCTTGGGGTGCAGTCAAGTCCTATAGTGTCTTGCTAATGACCTACTAATTTTATTCATGTGTGTTGCAGCGGGGACACATTTAAAAGTTTCAGGACATCAGGCCTGGAGGTCTGGAGTTTGACACACCTGCTCTAAAGGGTGCTTCTGAGAGGATACCACACCATGTCACAAGCTCTAATCCTCTACAACTGATGTGTTGAAGATGTCAATCTCACTGTACACAGATCCATTAGAGCACCTTTGGGACTTGATGGAACGGGAGAGTCACATCATGGATGTCCAGCTGACAAATCTGCATCAACTGTGTGATGCTATCATGTAAATATGGCGCAAAATCTCCATAGAGGAACAGTCCAGCAGCTTGTTGAATCTATGCCATGAAGAATTAAATCAGTAGCAACCCAGTACTAGCAATGAGTAGCTAATAAAGTGACCCTTGAGTGTATATACATAAGTAGCAGATAGATTTCTGCCTTTGATTTAGATATATCTGTTTAAATGAATATCCAGCACCTGCTACAAAAGATTAGAGCTGATGGGAAAACACGAGCAGCATTGACATTCATTGGTTTTCCTAAATAGAATTTCCTTTTCATTCACTAATAATGGCACTTACTTGGCAAAATCAATCTCAGGACTATTCACAAAAATCTACAAATAAGCACACAACCCAGGCCCATTAAAGCAGGCCTTTCTATTCATGTTTCTCATTCATTCAGCAGGAAGAGTCTCCTTCATTCATTTCTCACTTTCTCCTTGTCGGTGCACAGCTGAAGATGAAAAAGCACTGCTCCTCCCAGGACTGCACTCCCCATTAGCTTCTCTGTGACCTGCAGCGCCCAGTTCAGCTCCAGTGGTCTTTCCATTTAGGATTTCAGAAGGTCACAGCAATTCAGCTCAGTGCATCACATCAGGCCACTTTGCTCTGCTAAGTAGAAATGACCAAAATAAAAATATTTTCTGGAAATTTGATCTCAAGTATCACGAAAATCAGTGGTGGGCAGCATGTTTGTTTTTTCCCCAGAGGGCCGTGCTGACTCCTATAAAGTAAGGAAAGGGCCGCAGTTTGGATAATGACATTGAAACCGAATTCAAAGGAAGGAAAATAAACAGATATTTAACAAAATTTTAATTAGCCTGGATTTTTCCACTTGTCTGATGGGACAGTTCACTGATGAAACACAGCACTGGAATCCAGTTAAATACCAGCATAGACTAACTGCCGTCATCTGCCATAAGATTCGTTTATTAATGAAGTCTGCGTGCCTTTCCCCACTTGTTTCACTTGCAAAGCTTCTCTAGTACAGTGATCGAAATGATGGAAACCATTTAACTCTTTCAGTGGCTGAAAGAACCAGCAGCTGATGCTTTTTTTGGAAATATTAAATTTATGTCAAGAACCAACAGCAGAAATCTATGAGTGCTGTCTGCTACTGCAGTGGTTTCCTACCTGGCTTCAAGATCCTTTCAGGAGGGACCTGGAATGAATCTAAGTTAATTACAGATGCATAAACAATAAATAAAACTTGAGCGTTTGCAGTCACGTTAGCAGGTCTGTGAGGTTGTTCTCGATCACAGCTGAGCTAACATCAGCTTAAATACCGATGTTTAGTTATGATTTTGATCATTTTAGGATGTTAGCATTCTGATTATGCTAACGATTTTGCTAATTCAGTTTATAGCTCAGTTTCTGAACTCAATTTTTCTTAATTTCTTTCGTTTTATTGAATCGTTTCATATCATGTCATGTTAAATTGAATGCTTTCACTGTGGAGTCTCCAAATGTGAATAAACTAAGCACACGCTGTGATTTATTAGCTTGTAGGTCCACCTTTAGCAGCAACAGCTTGAATCATTTTCTGCCTGACTTTATCAGTCTCCCACATCATCGTGGAGGATTTTGGCCCACTCATCATTAAATGTTGCCTCCGTTCACTGAAGTTTGTCGGCATTGATTTTTGCACAGATCTCTTAATGTCACAGCACGGCATTTCAGTCAAGTTGGACTTTCTCTGGGTCTTTGCAACACCTTAATTATTTTTCTTTTTCACCCTTTCTGTTGGAGATTTGCTGTTTTGCTTGGGATCATTAACCTTTTGTGTTACCAAATTTTAGGTAAGCTTTAGACAACTGAAGACTCTAGAATACTTTGGTGCACAAAGGACTTCCTGGTAGACTCAGTGACTGCAAAGTGCCCAAAACAAATCCTAATCGTCTCCCATCTTCCACCACGCCGAACAGTCGGTATGTGGCATTTTCTTTTCACCAGATGAGCTTATATTTCCTCCTTGGCATCGTGTTAAAACACACCTGAATGCTCAAGACCAGCAAACTTCTGCTTTTATAGAGGTGCTCCCATTTTGCTGATCATCAATCTGATGATCATGATGAACACCTGGCTTGGAAGCAGAAAGGGTGTGTTCTTTTTTCACATCACCTTATGTATAAAAAATGGAAAGAAAGAAAGGTTGGAAACCTGTTATGGAAAAAGTAACGTGTATTTAAAAATGACTGAAGAAATATTCTCATTAATCTAATCTATACAACTGAAATAAACAAAGTCAGGCTATGCTTCAGGTAGGTGCTTTTTTCTTTGTTTTTGCCTTCCCTCACTGCACGCGTGGATAGATCACCCTGTATTTACAGAGCCAAAGTGAGGGGGGTGAGAGTAAAGCAAGCCAAGAGGACTCACAGATGAGGCTGCTTGACTCAATTTGCTCTGGACCTCCTGATCGGCAGCAGATGCTTAATAGTGAGTTATTAGAGTAGAGATCAGCACTGACAGATCCAACGGCAGCGCTCTCAGCCCAGATGGAGGTGAGTCCTCAGCGCTTCGTATAACTCCCCAGCTAATCCACTGAAATACAATATGCACTGCTTCGCCTTTAAAGGTTAAGCACATCATTAGCTGTATCTATAAAGAATTTGTGAACAGAGCATCAGTACACGCAGTATGTGACCCAGGCTGGATTTCATCTTACTATCCAGACCTCGCTGAAGTTTAATTAAGAAAGTTTTCAGTTTCAGAGGATTGTTAAACAGCTCAGAAGAAGCCCTTAGCCCTGTAGTACATGGTGATGGATTGTTCCCATACGACTGATATGATTAGTTGCTTAGTTTTTCCTGTGAAAATATTAAACTTCCTGTTGAGAGCTCAGTGTGGTTAATTGGACATTATAACGCACTTTGTAATTTTGTGTAAATGTGCGTCATTTAACAGCCATCTGCTGAACCGAGGCCACACGAGTGTCACATTTTGTGCTGTAGCTGTAGTTTTATTACGTATGAAACTGCATTTTTATTGTAATGGCAGACTTTTTACTTCCTGATTCAGTATTTGGAAATGAAAATCATCTATCAGGAAGCTTGAAATGCTCCAGTCTGCTTTCAAACATGGCTAACAAGAGCTTTTCAGCCCGTGAAGCAGGTTTACCTCACCGAATCCTTGAATCCTGATTCCTGTTCACTGCAGCACACACAGTGATAAGTGCATTATCATGACATAAGTTGTGTGGGTGGAGGAAGCGGTGAGAGAAGTCTCAGCGGATATTTTGCTGCTGCACGTACTCCTTTATTTTATATCCCCTATTTGCAAATGTGTGCTTGCGTGCTCCTTTCATGGATGTCCGTGCGCTCATGGGTGTGTGTGACAGATTACAGTGACAGCACGATGCCAAGTGCACTTAGATGGAAATATGGTCACCATCTGCTCAGAGAGACTGTTCCAGCTCCACCTGTGGAGAAGAGTTGCCTTATGATGAAAATGTCATGTGTTTG